AAAACCGATGTTCTCCAATGTATACTATCACTCAATTCACAACAGAAACTTAAAAAAAAAAAAAAAGAGCCAAAGGTACTTAAGGAAAAAGTCCAGTGTGCACTGAAGGCACTGGCAAAGAATAACTCTCCAGGAATTGATGGAATACAAATTGAAATTTTTCAACAAACTGATGCAGCACTGGAGGCACTCACTCATCTATGCCAAAAAATATGGAAGACAGCTATCTGGCCAACTGATTGGAAGAGATCCATATTTATGCCCATTTCAAAGACAGGTGACCCAATGGAACAAAGAAATCAGACAATATCAATAATATTACATGTGACCAAAATTTACTAAATTTTAAAAATGGCTGCAACAGTATATTCACAGGTGAACTGACATCGAGGTTCAAGATGGATTCAGATGAGGATGTGGAATGTGCATATCATTAATGATGTCACATGGATCTTGGCTGAAAACAGAGAATACCAGAGAGATGTTTTACTTATTGGCCATGCAAAAGCTTTTGACTGTGTGGATCATGACAAGTTATGGGTAAAACTTTGGAGGATGAGTATTCCAGAACACTTAATTGTGCTCATAAGGAACTTATACATAGCAGCAATCAAGAAATCAAGAAATGATGTCCTTTGGCACTCAACAAATAATGAGGCTAATCATTACATAATAACACAGCATTATTTACAATTCATTCTTCCTCAAAGTTCTAATCTTCTTTCCTTTGTATAGTGCTGTATGTACTATTTTATGTAACCCAGCTTTTAGTATTTTCATCTTGGCTGGCACTGCCCCTTCTAGGTTCACTGCTCTGGTAGCACTACCAGCTATGGCCTCATAGAAAGACTGATCCACTATTATGGCACTCCTTACAATCTTGTTTCTGATCAAGGGACTTATTTCACAGCAAAATTAGCTAAGGAATGGGATCATATACATGAAAGGAAATGGTCTTATCATATAACTAAAAGCTGTTCGTCTAAAAGAAAGGCATATTGAGACGTCAGTTGGGAAGCAAAACTCAGAAGTTTCATCTTACAGGATGTAGTCTGCTTTGAATAAGAGACTACCATATGGGGATGAAAATTCATGCCTCGATTTGCCATACTGAAGGAATCTATGGACAAAATATTGAATAATAAAGAAAGCATCAACATTAAAAAAAAAAAAAAATGGAAGGAATACACTGAGTCATCATTCTAAAAAGAAATGGTCGTCAATGTTCAACCATTTTAAGAGGTAGCATATTATCAAGAGCTAACAG